CAAAAATGCAGAGCCATCTTCTAATGTAGATGTTTCTAAGGATGAAAAAGATGAACACACATTTGCACTGGCCACAACGGTGCGTAACATTAGATCAGAGAAAGACATACCACTTGCAAAGGATGGAGGATGGATGGTTCATCCTAATAACGACATGCTTGAGTATGCAACTAACTTTACGATGAAGGCTAAGTACATTGTCAAGCTATGTGGAAAGAATACATACGTTGGCCTGTTTACGCTTGATCATCTGCGTGGCGGTGGTGATGTTCCAGAGATGGATATCTTGGAACGCTCCATGCTTAGCAAGATGAAACTTCAAGAAATGTCTGATGAAGAGAGAAAGATGCTTTTCAACGAGGAGGTCGAAGTAGAAGAGGAACTACCAGTGGAAGGACCGACAGATATATCCAAGATGAAATGGAAAAGGTTTCACAAGCAGCAATTGGAGTATTCCAAGAATGTACTTGTAAATGGAAAGCACATTCTCAAGATCCGCAAGCAAAACATTGTAGTTGGCTTGGTGACTGATGACCACATTAGTGCAGAGAATGTCGACTATGATAATCTTAACCAAAAGGAAAAAGAAAAGATCTTCGCTATGGGCTTTAAGCCACAATGGTCTAAGGATAGGTCGACAGAGAAAGGTGAACCGGTAGAAAAAATAGATGATGAGGTGCAAGAGTCGAATATTAAGGAAACTTTAGATGAACTTGTAGAAAAAGTAGATGATGAGGTGCAAGAGTCGGATGTTAAGAAAACTCTAGAAGATGGTGGACCTATGGAAAGCGAAAATGTGAATGCCTCAAGTGTTTACACTACAAAAGACCATCATGATTTTCTGAAGGCAATGGGAGAAGTATATAGCAAAATAACAGCTATCGAAGAAGAACTCCGCGAGGAATACGTTTCGGCAGATGGTAATGCAGAAGAAAAAGAACTAATTTTTCACCTAGGTTTGTTGGAGAAAGATTATTCCAACTACGAAACATGGCACATGGATAAGTTTGGTTCCCGCGAACCACATTCCGATATATTATGTAAGTTTGCAAAAGAAGGATCTAACAACAGAAAAACCATAGTGCAAAGTGTATTAGATAGTATTCAAGCCAAAGAGAAAAGTACGATGGAAGAAAAGAAGCCTCTTGAAGTAACATTTGAGACCGCAGAAGAGTAGATCAAGAATTTTAAAAACTGTAGATATACCACTTGCACAAATAAAGCTTTTATATATGGAATACACATGTAATATTATCCTCGTCCCTTCCAATGAGATTCACCAGATATATTACCCATCTTTTTAAAAACTTCCACCATCCTTTGCACAATTTACAATATTTCTTTCTTGATCACAGTGGTGTTTATCCACAATCTACTTATATTTAACATTACGAAAATTACAATAACTATATCTAATATGTTCTACAATGCATGCACTCTTTATGACATTTATTTTTTCACCATTGGCATATTTACCAACGATCTGTATAGGAGGCCGCATATCAACAAATATTATAACAATCGTAACTTCCTACAAAGTATGTTACATCAAACATTATAAAAACCACGATAACTTCATCTGAGACGTTCCACAATGCATGCACCCTCACCATTATTGCATTACCCATATTTTTTTAAAACATTCACCTAGGAGGCCTTTCACGTCCAAGTTATCATATGGTGTTTGTTACATCTCTGTAGATCTCGACAATATCCATAGCGACTATGGGATGAGAATGTATATATGATACCAAGCATATAAGACAACCATTGTAACATTTTTTGTTTAACTATCCTACTAAACACCAACCTATTCTCCAAACAACAAAGTCTTCTTATTTTTCGCACACCACACTCTTGAATATGTCCATCTACTATTAACCTGTAACCCTCACTGCAAGATTCGCCAGAGTAGTTCTTGTATGTCATCATCTAAAGCACTTGTACTCTCAACTGTATCTTTGGGGCGAAATACAGGGGAGAGATTACATTTTAAAAAAACATGTGCTGTCTATTGCTATTTTATTCTGTGTTCTGTTGCCCACTATGAAGAGATATGTCAGTTATGGAAGTAAACACTCCGTTCCTTGGGCTTTGGATATTTTTTATATGCCTTTTTATATCCTCTGCACATGAAGGGGCCGCTTAGAGGTTACCGAATTCCACCAGTGACAATAAGCAAACAGTTTCTCATGTGGAAAATGTACAGCCACCATCGAGGTAATGCATTTTGCACGTTCCTCCCACTGCATCTCAAAGGAACATTTAAATGTTTTACATTTCTTCAAGAGATTCTTTGTCTTGTCCATTTCGTCTTGATATGACTGAAGAGATCTCAAAGATGAACCTTCAAACGTCAGCTCGATACGACTATAACCATGCTTTTTATATTTTTTAACTCGTCGTCCAAATGCTGTTTCTTTCTCCACCAAATCCTCCAAACGTGAACCAAGGCTCTTTCGCACCTCGGCACTTTCCAAAATCTGAACAAATTTGTTATACACCTTATATCGGATATTCTTTGTATCCCCTTTTCGACCTCTCCATGAAATACAATGATGTCCTACTCTTCCCACATCATCGACAATTTTTGTAGTTTTCGTTTGTTTTAGCAATCTCTCCACGTGCAGTCGTGTGGTAATACGCGTACAATCATAGGCAAAGTCTATGTCATGTAAAGCAATGCCGCTCTCGTTCAAGCTAGACAACATGTTCGCCAAAATTGGCACAACAATCTTTGCACGGGAAAAATCTAAAGAAACCTTGATGGCAATAAAACCCTGTTGGTATTCTTTTCCAACAAACAACTTTCTATGGCGTTTGACCATGCGCGGAGAAAAATAGTTATCATCCATTTTAACCTGCCTAGCATCGACCAACTTTACAGATTCCACAATTAAATCGGTGTGGTTAAATGCATCGCGCAGTTCAGCAATGTACTTTCCAATTGCTGTACCTTTAGTGGTATCGTCAGCAAAGTTATATATACCCCAAAAGATGATGGAATCGCAAAAGAGTTTGGAGAATTTGGTGAATCCTTTTCTCTCCACACTGCCAAATGGTGCTGACTGTAGATTACCCACATTTGACAGCAAATGGGAAATTTCGTTGATGGCTTTGTTTATCAGAGATTCTTTTGTTGGCGACATAATAAAAGGTATACTTAGGTTTTAAAAAGTCTATAATTTAGGTCGTCATTTTTTTCTAAGCATATATTCACCAGCGTCTTTCTCGGTAAGTAATCCATCTGCACGTATTTTGTCACGTAGGAGTTGATAAGATGCCTCTAATAACTTTTTTATGCCGTTAGTGCCAAATATAGTGGCATCTTGTGGAAAGAGGTTACGATGATGATCTAAAAATTCATCCAAATAGACAAACATACACAATTCCAGATTCTTCTCATAAATAAAATCTGCAACAACTTCCTGCTGGCGTGCTTTGGTTAAACGTGTAGGCCTGGGCATGATATATTTGCGGCGATAAGACGTCCAGATGCTCATCCCGCTATATACTTATTTGTCAATTACTCCCTTATATAGATACAACTTGACATCTATATTAGATATTGTTGTGTATGGCCCTCAAACACAAACATTGAGAGAAATATTCCCGGGAAAAAACGTGGTATATCAAGTATCAAGAGATCACCATTCCGCCTAATATGCCAAAAAGGATTTGCAATAGATGTGACCAAAAGAAGCCTTCATATGATTTCTACGATGATTCCAGAAATACATGTAAGGAATGCAAGATAAAGTCTTCCAAGGAGAGCTATCAGGCAAAAAAGAATGGTGGAAAGCATGTGAAATCTGGGAGATGTAAGAAAGATGAGGATGTGCAACAATCCGATGATGATTTACAGTATGAGAATAAGAAGTTAAAGAAACGTGTCAGAAAATTAGAGAAAGAAATGGATAAGATGAACCAAATTATTTCCCAGCAGAAGAGGGAGATTTATATAATAAATGCCTTGATCAAAGGATTTGCCAGTGGTCTTATGGTAAATCAAGAGGAAGAATTAGATACAGCCAATGTTGTTGAGCTATTGGAATAAACTTTTAAAATGTGCAATATATATACCTTCCATAAGTAGTATTATGGGAATTATTCCCAGGAAATTCATGTACTGTCAACCAAGCTGGTACCATTATCATCATGATGTATATGCATGAGATTCACCGGGGACACACGTATAAATGCTATATATGTTATATGAACGTAGGTGTTTTAAAATGGTGGGCATAGCTTAACAAAAGACGAGAAAAATGGTGTACTCCCTCGCCCAAAAAAAAGCGCACTCCCCCAATTCTATTCCTCGATTACCGATATGTAAAATATGTTTATGTTGATACTCTTTCCTTACGTTTTGCTCTTGTAATACTGCTAGATAACTATGTCCATTTGGATTCTTTTGCTTTTGTATATGTATTCTTTATAGATATATCTGTTGTCTTTTTAAAAACTCCTTCCATAATCGTCTGTACAAATTCTTGCAACTTCCATTGGTATTCCATAACATATTTAACTATTTCGACCCAAGACATTTCCCCTTGGTCCTATTCCAGTGTACTTCTTTCTTGTTGACATTTGGCCAAAGGGTAAGTATCCTGGTCCATACAAAGAAGTGGAGAAAGGTCTTTTAATGCTCTATCATCTTGTCAAAGGACTGTCTATGGAAGCAATGGAACCACACATGCCAAAAAGTAGTTTTCATGCAATGCACTCTGTGTTTTATAAGAAAGAATATACTTTGCACAACAAGTACATCACCAACTGTATTGCAACAATGCGGCCCCTTCATGTGCAGAGGATATAAAAAGGCATATAAAAAATATCCAAAGTCCAAGGAACGGAGTGTTGACTTCCATAACTGGCATATCTCTTCATAGTGGGCAACAGAACACAGAATAAAATAGCAATAGACAGCACAAGAATTTTTAAAATGTAATCTCTCCCCTGTATTTCACGACAAAGATACAGTTGAGAATACAAGTGCTTTAGATGGTCACATACAAGAACTACTCTGTCGAATCTTGCAGTGAGGGTTACAGGTTAATAGTAGATGGACATATTCAAGAGTTTGGTGTGCGAAAAATAAGAAGACTTTGTTGTTTGGAGAATAGGTTGGTGTTTAGTAGGATAGTTAAACAAAAAATGTTACAATGGTTGTCTTATATGCTTGGTATCATACATACACTCTCCTCTAATGGACGCGGTGGATATCGTCAAGATCTGCAGAGATGTAACAAACACCATATGATAATTTGGACTTGAAAGGCCTCCTAGGTGGAAGTGTCGAAGACATGTTACATTTTTAAAAAGTTCATGCTATATATACAACCACAAATGCCAACTGTTGACAATTGGATAGTTTTTAAAATATCTACTCTTCATCTGTCTCAACAACTACCAAAACTTTACATCTGGAGAGTACAATTTAGGCAATTCCTCGATCGTGAACCCCATGGCAATTAACTTCTGCTTTTGTTTGTTGTTGGTAAATTTGTCTCGACTATAGTTACTGTCACCGTTTGCAGGTATCTTATACAGCAGTCCAACAATAATGTCCTCTTCGTACCTCTTGAGCAGATGACATCCGTCGAAAAGGTAGTTGGTTGCATATTCATGCTTCTTGTCAAACGAACATGTTGTCCATTTAATTTCGTCTTTATCTATGACGATTATACCCGAGGAGCTTTTATCTTTAGGGTACCTTTTCCACATAACATCCTCAGCATCTTTATCATCCTCAGCATCTTTATCATCTTCAGCATCGTTATCACCCTCAGCATCTTTGTCATCCTCAGCATCGTTATCACCCTCAGCATCTTTGTCATCTTCAGCATCTTTATCACCCACCGCATCTTTGTCATCCTCAGCATCTTTATCGCCCTCAGCATCTTTATCATCCTCACATGTGCTCTCATCTTTCTGTGGCAAGCTTTGCTTATGCTCATGCGGTTTAAATCCCATAGCAAACAACTTCTCTTTTTCCTTCTGGCTAAGAGAATGACACTCTACATTCTCTGCAGCAATATGGTCATCAGTCATCAAGCCGATTACAGTGTCTTTTTTGCGCATCTTGAGAATGTGCATTCCATTTACAAGTACATTCTCGGAATATTCCAAGTACTTGTTAAGTTTTTTCCATATCACCTTGGATTTATCTGTTGGTCCTTCTACTGGTACTTCTTCTTCTACTTCGATCTCCTCGTTGAAAAGCGTCTTTCTCTCTTCATCAGACAATGGTTGAAGTTTCATCTTGCTAAGCATGGAGCGTTCCAAGATATCCAACTCTGGAACATCACCGACACCGCGCAGAGCATCAAGCGTAAACAGGCCAACGTATGTATTCTTTCCAGATAGCCTGACAATGTACTTGCCATTCATCGTAAACTTAGTTGCATACTCAAGCATGTCGTTATTAGGATGAATCATCCATCCTCTGTCCTTCGCACGTGCTATGTCTTTCTCTGATCTAATGTTATGCACCGTTGTGGCCAGTGCAAATGTATGTTCATCTTTTCCATCCTTAGAAACGTCTACATTAGAAGATGGCTCTGCATTTTTGGGCATCTCTGAATGCCTTTTCTTTCGAGAAGTCTTCTTCTCATCATCCTTAGATGACTTTTTATGAGATAGTTTTTCATCAGGGTTATCCTTAGAGGTATCATCTCCAGATTCTACATCAGGTCTGTTATTGGACTTGCCATCATCAGAGTCTTTATCATCAGGGGAATCATCGTCAGAGCCAGCATCATCAGACGTATCACCATCATCTGTATCATCCTCAGAATTCTCATCAGCAGAAGACTCTTCTATTTTTTCTACATCTGCAGGAGTTGCCTCTTGGAGTCCCATCTTTTGCAATATACGTACCTCTTTGTCAGATATTTCCGGTACAGGAAGATTTTTCCCCATGAGCTCAGGTGGACACAATACAATGTAGAGGTCCTTTTCCTTCAGCTTAATAATGTACTTGCCATTTACAGTAAAGTTCTTTGCATATAGAAAAGCTGGATTAGTTGCATAACGCATCCATATGCCTGTATTAGCGAGTGGTACATTTTTCTTGGACGTTATGTCAACTACCTTTGGACTCAACGGAAAGGAGACGGCAATTTTATCTTCTTCATCATCATCGTCGGACGGCTCTTCATCCTCGGAAGTCATATCGTCATCAGATGATACAAACTTAGAAGTATGTGTCTTCTTTAAAGCCTTGGAAGACTTGGGACGCGTAACGACAGGTGCATTCTTGTTACCACGTTTTATATGACCTCTATCTTGATCTTGATGACGCCCACAGTATGTTTGACCAATTTTGGCTACACTACCACAATTAGCGCCCTTAATGGTTGTGCCTTGACACTTGCGCGCAGGATCGTGGACATAACAATGCATGCCTTCATCGTCAACTTCCTTCATGCATTTACGCTTGGACTTGACGCACTTTGCTCCACAAAAGTAGTATCTCTCCACTTCCTTATCCCCATCAAGCGCCTTAAAGATCTTATTTGCATCTTTCTTGGTAAACTCCACTCCCTTCTTAGAAGAAAATGTCTCGAAGGCCTTGGTGATGAGCTCGATTGTAAGCTGAACGTACTGCATGTTTTTGGATATGAACGATATAGATTGTACTTGTGGTATGGTGGGTGTGAATGACTTTTCAGTTTATGTGTGGTAGATTGCAGCTGCTTAGTACACTGATATAAAGAATTGCAATAAAAGATGGTTGTATAGGTATGGATGGTTGTATAGATATGGATAATGGTTGGTTGGTTACTAGATAAGATAAAGATTAAGCAAGAGGGAAGTGGAGTCCTTTATTTATACTAATTCATGGGACACTGCCACATTGGATATTAATAGCGCTTGCTTATTAACACTGCTTGGCGCTTAGTAACAAAAGAGTTTTAAAAAGGCATCTAAGTGGTTAATAACGTAGTGTTCCTCGTATGACGTAGATCTTGCTTATTAAGACTGCTTGGCGTTAAAGACGGGGTTTAAAAATGGTTAAGAATGTAGTATTCTTTTATGACGTAGGTTTGTACATGTGTTTATGTATTCTTTTATGACGTAGGTTTGTACATGTGTTTATCCTCTTTGTTAAATAAAAAGGAATGTTGTAGAATAGCATAGAATAGCATCCGATCTACTACAATAATACCATGACTTTTAATAATAGATACCGGTGCATATTAGCGTCTAGGCAGTTAATACCGTATCTCAACGCTGACTAAATAGGCTATGTATGACTATTCTTTTAAAAACCTGCAATAAGTCTACAGATTACCATTAACATCCATTTGTCGCTTCGTACCTCTAAGCTCAATGGAAAGACCGGGTTGCATTATTACTGCTTGATCCATTGGTGTGTCCTCATCAACATTAACATCAACATCACCATGAAGATTAATACCAAGAAATTTGTTCTGGAGTTGTGCCATTGTATTTCCATCCTCCACTAGCGCACCAACATCAACATATCCCATTGGTTGCTCAACGTCGTTCTCTGTTGTCGGATACTCGAATCCTTCGCGAAGCCAAGCTGTATGAATTGGTTCTGCAGAAATCTTCAACAAAGCAACCATCTTTTTCATGTTTAAGAGTAACAAAGATAACTTCAACTGCAAATTATATGTTTGTTTCTTATCCACCAACACAGGAGTACGGTTGTTGTGTTTCTCAAATGTGGAACCAAGGTCTGCAAACAGAGATTCCATCTGCGAGCGGAAACTACCAAAGGTGGTATTGTATAACGCTTCTTCCTGTGTAAGTTCCTTGTTCTTCTGTTTACGGTATGGATGAGCGAAATTTTGGACTTTAAGAGTATCAGACTCATCTATAAGCCTCCTTAAGAACTGTGGATACCCTCCATCGAGAGCAATGCAATCCATCTCATGCACTCTCTTGTCCAACTTCATCGTTAGCAGCATTGTTCCATCAGCATTGTTCTTGCAAGATGCAGATTTGGAGACAAATAAAGCCATGCCATTACAATCCATTGCTACCTGTGTGCGTAATCCTGACTTTTTCAGCTTGTAAGAGTACATATCAGCACTACTCTCACCTTTGTATGTTGCTCTTGTATCATGACCATCAAGATGCAATGTAACATGCTTAAATAATGGAGGATTCTTTTCCTTTGCAGACAAAAGGCGTATTTTAATTGTGGAGAACATTGTTGCAATACAGTTGGTGATGTACTTGTTGTGCAAAGTATATTCTTTCTTATAAAACACAGAGTGCATTGCATGAAAACTACTTTTTGGCATGTGTGGTTCCATTGCTTCCATAGACAGTCCTTTGACAAGATGGTAGAGCATTAAAAGACCTTTCTCCACTTCTTTGTATGGACCAGGATACTTAACCTTTGGCCAGATGTCAACAAGAAAGAAGTACACTGGAATAGGACCAAGGCGTCGATTTAGGGTTTCTTTTATTTCTGGCATATACCCAATTTCCTTGCTTACAGTACGATGATTATTACGTGGTGTAATTGTTGGCCATCCAGCGTTGAGGAAAGTCCAATGGTCATCAAGCAGTTGTTTGAAGTGTTTTGTTAGATCCATAATAATATTTATGTATTGGATTGTCATGACGTTAACCAACAATAACAATTTTTTAAAAAGGCTTATACTTAACTGTATACACAACAGCATGTAGGATGGTATCTATCATACAGCAAGCACATAGTTGAGAATACAAATATATTTTTATATTTTATTCGGTAGCGGCCCCTTCATGTGCAGAGGATATAAAAAGGCATATAAAAAATATCCAAAGTCCAAGGAACGGAGTGTTGACTTCCATAACTGGCATATCTCTTCATAGTGGGCAACAGAACACAGAATAAAATAGCAATAGACAGCACAAGAATTTTTAAAATGTAATCTCTCCCCTGTATTTCACGACAAAGATACAGTTGAGAATACAAGTGCTTTAGATGGTCACATACAAGAACTACTCTGTCGAATCTTGCAGTGAGGGTTACAGGTTAATAGTAGATGGACATATTCAAGAGTTTGGTGTGCGAAAAATAAGAAGACTTTGTTGTTTGGAGAATAGGTTGGTGTTTAGTAGGATAGTTAAACAAAAAATGTTACAATGGTTGTCTTATATGCTTGGTATCATACATACACTCTCCTCTAATGGACGCGGTGGATATCGTCAAGATCTGCAGAGATGTAACAAACACCATATGATAATTTGGACTTGAAAGGCCTCCAATGTTCTCCACAATTAAAATACGCCTTTTGTCTGCAAAGGAAAAGAATCCTCCATTATTTAAGCATGTTACATTGCATCTTGATGGTCATGATACAAGAGCAACATACAAAGGTGAGAGTAGTGCTGATATGTACTCTTACAAGCTGAAAAAGTCTGGATTACGCACACAGGTAGCAATGGATTGTAATGGCATGGCTTTATTTGTCTCCAAATCTGCATCTTGCAAGAACAATGCTGATGGAACAATGCTGCTAACGATGAAGTTGGACAAGAGAGTGCATGAGATGGATTGCATTGCTCTCGATGGGGGGTATCCACAGTTCTTAAGGAGGCTTATAGATGAGTCTGACACTCTTAGAATCCAAAATTTCGCTCATCCATACCGTAAACAGAAAAATAAGGAACTTACACAGGAAGAAGCGTTATACAATACCACCTTTGGTAGTTTCCGCTCGCAGATGGAATCTCTGTTTGCAGACCTTGGTTCCACATTTGAGAAACACAACAATCGTACTCCTGTGTTGGTGGATAAGAAACAAACATATAATTTGCAGTTGAAGTTATCTTTATTACTCTTAAACATGAAAAAGATGGTTGCTTTGTTGAAGATTTCTGCAGAACCAATTCATACAGCTTGGCTTCGCGAAGGCTTCGAGTATCCGACAACAGAGAACGACGTTGAGCAACCAATGGGATATGTTGATGTTGGTGCGCTAGTGGAGGATGGAAATACAATGGCACAACTCCAGAACGAATTTCTTGGTATTAAACTTCATGGTGATGTTGATGTTGATGAGGACACACCAATGGATCAAGCAGTAATAATGCAACCCGGCCTTTCCATTGAGCTTAGAGGTACGTAGCGACAAATGGATGTTAATGGTAATCTGTAGACTTATTGCAGGTTTTTAAAATAATAGACATACATGGCATATTTAGTCAGCTTTTAAGATACGGTATTAACTGCCAAGACGCTAATATGCACCAGTATCTATTATTAAAAGCCATGGTATTATTGTAGTAGATCGGATGCTATTCTATGCTATTCTACAGCATTCCTTTTGGGAATCGTCTTGGGTCGAAATAGATGAATATGTTATGGAATACCAATGGAGGTTGCAAGAATTTGTACAGACAATTATGGAAGGAGTTTTTAAAAAGATAACAAATACATCTATAAAGAGTACATATACAAAAGCAAAAGAATCCAAATGGACATAGTTATCTAGCAGTATTACAAGAGCAAAACGTAAGGAGAGAGTATCAACATAAACATATTTTACATATCGGTAATCGGGCAGGACAAAAAGGTTGGAGCGCTTTTTTTTGGGCGAGGGAGTACACCTGTTTTCTCGTCTTTTGTTAAGCTATGCCCACCATTTTAAAACACCTACGTTCATATAACATATATAGCATTTATACGTGTGTCCCCGGTGAATCTCATGCATATACATCATGATGATAATGGTACCAGCTTGGTTGACAGTACATGAATTTCCTGGGAATAATTCCCATAATACTACTTATGGAAGGTATATATATTGCACATTTTAAAAGTTTATTCCGATAGCTCAACAGCATTGGCTGTATCTAATTCTTCCTCTTGATTTACCATGAGACCACTGGCAAATCCTTTGATCAAGGCATTTATTATATAAATCTCCCTCTTCTGCTGGGAAATAATTTGGTTCATCTTATCCATTTCTTTCTCTAATTTTCTGACACGTTTCTTTAACTTCTTATTCTCATACTGTAAATCATCATCGGATTGTTGCACATCCTCATCTTTCTTACATCTCCCAGATTTCACATGCTTTCCACCATTCTTTTTTGCCTGATAGCTCTCCTTGGAAGACTTTATCTTGCATTGGGAAATGTCTTGGGTCGAAATGTCTTGGGTCGAAATAGTTAAATATGTTATGGAATACCAATGGAAGTTGCAAGAATTTGTACAGACGATTATGGAAGGAGTTTTTAAAAAGACAACAGATATATCTATAAAGAATACATATACAAAAGCAAAAGAATCCAAATGGACATAGTTATCTAGCAGTATTACAAGAGCAAAACGTAAGGAAAGAGTATCAACATAAACATATTTTACATATCGGTAATCGAGGAATAGAATTGGGGGAGTGCGCTTTTTTTTGGGCGAGGGAGTACACCTGTTTTCTCGTCTTTTGTTAAGCTATGCCCACCATTTCTTAATATGACATATCTGGGGAATTCTAGGGAATAATTGACATAATTACGTGTGTATAATCCCTATTTTTGCAGAAAACGACATTATGGAGACTGATACCATCGTAAACCCTACGCCAAAGAAACTTGCACGGCTGCTTGATAATCTGTTGGAGAACGAATGGGGATTTCTTGATGAACCGTGGCCAATGTGCCCAAAGGTCAAGACATTTCATCGTTCAGAGTTGAAACCAATTGCAAGAATACAGGATATGAAAAAGGTGTTGATGAAGAGACTTGGAGCCATACCAGTGTTTTTCTTTCTATCTACCATCTGGAGTAAACACTATTTCCCTGGTCCATATAACGCACTTGAGAAAGGAATTGCATTCTTGTACTTTTTCGTCGCTGGAGAGACTATGGATTCCATGGCACAGTATATGCCAAAGTCCACATTCCATTTGATATACAGTACATTCGTCAAGGTGGAACGTGCATTGTTTGAGAAGGAGATTACACGCTGTTTTGCATCCATGTTTTCTTCGCTGGAAATTCGTATTCGAACAGCCAATTGGAAAAATCCCCCAATGTTCAAGCATGTAACTCTCTACTTGGATGGTCATGACTCTCGAACAACATATGGGGAAGATAAAGCAGCAATGTATTCTTATAAGTTAAAGAAATCGGGTTTGAGAACGCAAGTGGCCATCGATGCCAATGGAATGGTTCTCTTTGTATCCAAATCAGCGTCATGTCGTGATAACAACGATGGGAAAATGTTACAAGAGATGGGCATTGGTAAGAAGATCAACAACATGGACTGTATTGCTCTCGATGGAGGATATACACAATACATTGGCGATATTGTGGAAAAAGAAAAGTTGGACGAGCGTAACTTCTGTTTTCCCATTCGTAAGAAACGACTACAGCAACTCCACGAAGAGGAATCCAACTTTAATGCTATATTTGGTGGATTTCGATCTACGTCAGAGGCTGTCTTTGGTGATCTCATGAAAACATTCGCCAAGTTTAATAACAAGGAGATTGTTCGAGTTGGATCTAAAAAGGAGTTTAATCTTACACTCCGCCTTTGTCTTCTCTTGCTAAATGTTCGCAACTTTGTCAAAGCAGTCGACATCGAAGAGCTGCCACATCATCGTGGATGGATGGAAGAAGGAGTAGATTATCCACGAGAAAGGCAACTTGTTCCAGAGTTAACACAAACCGTTACAGTACAAAACAAACTGGAAAATGGTCTTGAGTTACAAAGAATGCAAGAGAAATTTGTAGGAATAGATGTTGCTTCAGATGATGATGATGAACAAACGTCAAATAAGGATGATGACGAGGAAATGTCAAACCACGAAGATGGTAATACCAGTCTATAATTAAAAAAAGTCTTTCCAAAGTTTTTAAAAACCTCTCAAACGCGCTCGCACTTCATATCGTCCTCGCCATGAATACGAACCTTTTTTACTGCACGAAATGTCATCAACGGTACACCTTGCACACTACCAATTCTCTGTAGACCTTGAAGATGCTCCACACGCCATGGTCTCCAAATCTTTGCCAACGATTTTCCTGCGCGCACCTTTATGCCACATGCTGTAATAAAATGCCAACGATGTTCAGAACGAAATTCTTTGAGACCGGCCGCCACAATGGTATACTCTTCATCGGGCGTTAGAATTCGGTCGGCTGCAGTATACATCGAAACATGAATAGTTTTCAGATGTAATACATTTGTGTCTACTGTATCTTCATCATATTCGAAGATATCTGCAAGTGGGGCACTATACCTGTTATGAACACGCTTTGGCCAGGCAATAGAGATGTTGTCAACTTCCACAATTCCAACTTTGCTAAATTTACGAATGACATTAGGAGGCCTTTCAAGTCCAAATTATCATATGGTGTTTGTTCCATCTCTGCAGATCTTAACGATATCCACCGCGTCCATTAGAGGAGAATGTATATATGATACCAAGCATATAAGACAACCATTGTAACATTTTTTGTTTAACTATCCTACTAAACACCAACCTATTCTCCAAACAACAAAGTCTTCTTATTTTTCGCACACCACACTCTTGAATATGTCCATCTACTATTAACCTGTAACCCTCACTGCAAGATTCGCCAGAGTAGTTCTTGTATGTCATCATCTAAAGCACTTGTACTCTCAACTGTATCTTTGGGGCGAAATACAGGGGAGAGATTACATTTTAAAAAAACATGTGCTGTCTATTGCTATTTTATTCTGTGTTCTGTTGCCCACTATGAAGAGATATGTCAGTTATGGAAGTAAACACTCCGTTCCTTGGGCTTTGGATATTTGTTATATGCCTTTTTATATCCTCTGCACATGAAGGGGCCGCTACCGAAAAAAATATAAAAATATATTTGTATTCTCAACTATGTGCTTGCTGTATAATAGATACCATCCTACATGCTGTTGTGTATGCAGTTAAGTATAAGCCTTTTTAAAAAATTGTTATTGTTGGTTAACGTCATGACAATCCAATACATAAATATTATTATGGATCTAACAAAACACTTTAAACAACTGCTTGATGACCATTGGACTTTCCTCAACGCTGGATGGCCAACAATTACACCACGTAATAATCATCGTACTGTAAGCAAGGAAATTGGGTATATGCCAGAAATAAAAGAAACCCTAAATCGACGCCTTGGTCCTATTCCAGTGTACTTCTTTCTTGTTGACATCTGGCCAAAGGTTAAGTATCCTGGTCCATACAAAGAAGTGGAGAAAGGTCTTTTAATGCTCTATCATCTTGTCAAAGGACTGTCTATGGAAGCAATGGAACCACACATGCCAAAAAGTAGTTTTCATGCAATGCACTCTGTGTTTTATAAGAAAGAATATACTTTGCACAACAAGTACATCACCAACTGTATTGCAACAATGTTCTCCACAATTAAAATACGCCTATTGTCTGCAAAGGAAAAGAATCCTCCATTATTTAAGCATGTTACATTGCATCTTGATGGTCATGATACAAGAGCAACATACAAAGGTGAGAGTAGTGCTGATATGTACTCTTACAAGCTGAAAAAGTCTGGATTACGCACACAGGTAGCAATGGATTGTAATGGCATGGCTTTATTTGTCTCCAAATCTGCATCTTGCAAGAACAATGCTGATGGAACAATGCTGCTAACGATGAAGTTGGACAAGAGAGTGCATGAGATGGATTGCATTGCTCTCGATGGAGGGTATCCACAGTTCTTAAGGAGGCTTATAGATGAGTCTGATACTCTTAAAGTCCAAAATTTCGCTCATCCATACCGTAAACAGAAGAACAAGGAACTTACACAGGAAGAAGCGTTATACAATACCACCTTTGGTAGTTTCCGCTCGCAGATGGAATCTCTGTTTGCAGACCTTGGTTCCACATTTGAGAAACACAACAATCGTACTCCTGTGTTGGTGGATAAGAAACAAACATATAATTTGCAGTTGAAGTTATCTTTATTACTCTTAAACATGAAAAAGATGGTTGCTTTGTTGAAGATTTCTGCAGAACCAATTCATACAGCTTGGCTTCGCGAAGGCTTCGAGTATCCGACGACAGAGAACGACGTTGAGCAACCAATGGGATATGTTGATGTTGGTGCGCTAGTGGAGGATGGAAATACCATGGCAGAACTCCAGAGCAAATTTCTTGGTATTAAACTTCATGGTGATGTTAATGTTGATGAGGACACACCAATGGATCAAGCAGTAATAATGCAACCCGGCCTTTCCATTGAGCTTAGAGGTACGAAGCGACAAATGGATGTTAATGGTAATCTGTAGACTTATTGCAGGTTTTTAAAAGAATAGACATACATGGCCTATTTAGTCAGCTTTAAGATACGGTATTAACTGCCAAGACGCTAATATGCACCGGTATCTATTATTAAAAGCCATGGTATTATTGTAGTAGGGAGGCCTTTCAGGTCCAAGTTATCATATGGTGTTTGTTACATCTCTGTAGATCTCGACAATATCCATAGCGACTATGGGATGAGAATGTATATATGATACCAAGCATATAAGACAACCATTGTAACATTTTTTGTTCAACTATCCTACTAAACACCAACCTATTCTCCAAACAACAAAGTCTTCTTATTTTTCGCACACCACACTCTTGAATATGTCCATCTACTATTAACCTGTAACCCTCACTGCAAGATTCGCCAGAGTAGTTCTTGTATGTGATCATCTAAAGCACTTGTACTCTCAACTGTATCTTTGGGGCGAAATACAGGGGAGAGATTACATTTTAAAAAAACATGTGCTGTCTATTGCTATTTTATTCTGTGTTCTGTTGCCCACTATGAAGAGATATGTCAGTTATGGAAGTAAACACTCCGTTCCTTGGGCTTTGGATATTTTTTATATGCCTTTTTATATCCTCTGCACATGAAGGGGCCGCTAGATCGGATGCTATTCTATGCTATTCTACAGCATTCCTTTTTATTTAACAAAGAGGATAAACACATGTACAAACCTACGTCATAAAATAATACTACATTCTTAACCATTTTTAAACCCCGTCTTTAATGCCAAGCAGTCTTAATAAGCAAGATCTACGTCATACGAGGAACACTACATTATTAACCAATTAGATGCCTTTTTAAAACTCTTTTGTTACTAAGTGCCAAGCAGTACTAATAAGCAAGCGCTATTAATATCCATTGTGGCAGTGTTCCATGAACTAGTATAAATAAAGGAGTCCACTTCCCTCTTGCTTAATCTTTATCAAGTAACCAACCAACAATTTTCCATATCTATACAACCATCCATACCTATACAACCATCTTTTATTGCAATTCTTTATATCAGTGTACTAAGCAGCTGCAATCTACCACACATAAACTGAAAACTCATTCACACCCACCATACCACAAGTACAATCCATATTGTTCATATCCAAAAACATGAAGTACGTTCAGCTTACAATCGAGCTCATCACCAAGGCCTTTGAGACATTCTCCTCTAAGAAGGGAGTGGAGTTTAACAAGAAAGATGCAAATAAGATCTTTAAGGCGCTTGATGAGGATGATGAAGTAGAGAGATACTACTTTTGTGGAGAAAAGTGCACCAAGTCCAAGCGCAAATGCATGAAGGAAGTTGATGATGAAGGCATGCATTGTTATGTCCACGATCCTGCGCGCAAGTGTCAAGGCACAACCATTAAGGGCGCTAATTGTGGTAGTGTAGCCAAACTTGGTGAAACATACTGTGGACGTCATCGAGAGCAGCATAAAGGTCATATGAAAAGCAGTAACAATAAGGCACCTGCCAACAAGCGTACCAAGTCTTCCAAGATGACCAAGAAGACACATACTCCTGAGTTTGTGCCTTCAGATGCTGATATGACTTCCGAGGATGAAGAACCAAAGAAGCGAAAGAAAAACAAGCAGGAGTCATCGGATGAAGAGCCGTCCGATGATGATGATGAAGAAGATATAATTGCCGTCTCCTTTCCGTTGAGTCCAAAGGTAGTTGACATAACGTCCAAGAAAAATGTACCACTCGCTAATACATGTATATGGACGCGTTATGCAACTAATCCAGCTTTCCTGTATGCAAAAAGCTTTACTGTAAATGGCAAGTACATTATTAGGCTAAAGGAAAAGAATCTCTACATTGCATTGTGTCCACCTAAGCTCATGGGCAAGAATCTCCCTGCGCCAGAAATATCTGAGAAAGAGGCACGCATATTGGCCAAGATGGGTCTTCAAGAGGCAACTTCAGCAGATGTAGAAAAAATAGAAGAGTCTTCTGCTGATGAGAATTCTGACGATGATACAGATGATGGTGATACGTCTGATAATGCTGACTCTGACGATGATTCCTCTAAAGATAAAGACTCTGATGATGGCAAGTCCAATAACAGACCTGATGTAGAATCTGGAGATGATACCTCTAAGGATAACCCTGATGAAAAACTATCTCATAAAAAGCCATCTAAGGATGATGAGAAGAAGATTTCTCGAAAGAAAAGGCATTCAGAGATGCCCAAAAATGCAGAGCCATCTTCTAATGTAGATGTTTCTAAGGATGAAAAAGATGAACACACATTTGCACTGGCCACAACGGTCCGTAACATTAGATCAGAGAAAGACATACCACTTGCAAAGGATGGAGGATGGATGGTTCATCCTAATAACGACATGCTTGAGTATGCAACTAACTTTACGATGAAGGCTAAGTACATTGTCAAGCTATGTGGAAAGAATACATACGTTGGCCTGTTTACGCTTGATCATCTGCGTGGCGGTGGTGATGTTCCAGAGATGGATATCTTGGAACGCTCCATGCTTAGCAAGATGAAACTTCAAGAAATGTCTGATGAAGAGAGAAAGATGCTTTTCAACGAGGAGGTCGAAGTAGAAGAGGAACTACCAGTGGAAGGACCGACAGATATATCCAAGATGAAATGGAAAAGGTTTCACAAGCAGCAATTGGAGTATTCCAAGAATGTACTTGTAAATGGAAAGCACATTCTCAAGATCCGCAAGCAAAACATTGTAGTTGGTTGGTGACTGATGACCACATTGGTGCAGAGAATGTCGACTATGATAATCTTAACCAAAAGGAAAAAGAAAAGATCTTTGCTATGGGCTTTAAGCCACAATGGTCTGAGGATAGGTCGACAGAGAAAGATGAACCGGTAGAAAAAGTAGATGATGAGGTGCAAGAGTCGAATGTTAAGGAAACTTTAGATGAACTTGTAGAAAAAGTAGATGATGAGGTGCAAGAGTCGGATGTTAAGAAAACTCTAGAAGATGGTGGACCTATGGAAAGCGAAAATGTGAATGCCTCAAGTGTTTACACTACAAAAGACCATCATGATTTTCTGAAGGCAATGGGAGAAGTATATAGCAAAATAACAGCTATCGAAGAAGAACTCCGCGAGGAATACGTTTCGGCAGATGGTAATGCAGAAGAAAAAGAACTAATTTTTCACCTAGGTTTGTTGGAGAAAGATTATTCCAACTACGAAACATGGCACATGGATAAGTTTGGTTCCCGCGAACCACATTCCGATATATTATGTAAGTTCGCAAAAGAAGGATCTCACAACAGAAAAACCATAGTGCAAAGTGTATTAGATAGTATTCAAGCCAAAGAGAAAAGTACGATGGAAGAAAAGAAGCCTCTTGAAGTAACATTTGAGACCGCAGAAGAGTAGATCAAGAATTTTAAAAACTGTAGATATACCACTTGCACAAATAAAGCTTTTATATATGGAATACACATGTAATATTATCCTCGTCCCTTCCAATGAGATTCACCAGATATATTACCCATCTTTTTAAAAACTTCCACCATCCTTTGCACAATTTACAATATTTCTTTCTTGATCACAGTGGTGTTTATCCACAATCTACTTATATTTAACATTACGAAAATTACAATAACTATATCTAATATGTTCTACAATGCATGCACTCTTTATGACATTTATTTTTTCACCATTGGCATGTTTACCAACGATCTGTATAGGAGGCCACATATCAACAAATATTATAACAATCGTAACTTCCTACAAAGTATGTTACATCAGACATTATAAAAACCACGATAACTTCATCTGAGACGTTCCACAATGCATGCACCCTCACCATTATTGCATTACCCATATTTTTTTAAAACATTCACCTAGGAGGCCTTTCAGGTCCAAGTTATCATATGGTGTTTGTTACATCTCTGTAGATCTCGACAATATCCATAGCGACTATGGGATGAGAATGTATATATGATACCAAGCATATAAGACAACCATTGTAACATTTTTTGTTCAACTATCCTACTAAACACCAACCTATTCTCCAAACAACAAAGTCTTCTTATTTTTCGCACACCACACTCTTGAATATGTCCATCTACTATTAACCTGTAACCCTCACTGCAAGATTCGCCAGAGTAGTTCTTGTATGTCATCATCTAAAGCACTTGTACTCTCAACTGTATCTTTGGGGCGAAATACAGGGGAGAGATTACATTTTAAAAAAACATGTGCTGTCTATTGCTATTTTATTCTGTGTTCTGTTGCCCACTATGAAGAGATATGTCAGTTATGGAAGTAAACACTCCGTTCCTTGGGCTTTGGATATTTGTTATATGCCTTTTTATATCCTCTGCACATGAAGGGGCCGCTAAATGGAATGCACATTCTCAAGATGCGCAAAAAAGACACTGTAATCGGCTTGATGACTGATGACCATATTGCTGCAGAGAATGTAGAGTGTCATTCTCTTAGCCAGAAGGAAAAAGAGAAGTTGTTTGCTATGGGATTTAAACCGCATGAGCATAAGCAAAGCTTGCCACAGAAAGATGAGAGCACATGTGAGGATGATAAAGATGCTGAGGGCGATAAAGATGCTGAGGATGACAAAGATGCGGTGGGTGATAAAGATGCTGAAGATGACAAAGATGCTGAGGGTGATAACGATGCTGAGGATGACAAAGATGCTGAGGGTGATAACGATGCTGAAGATGATAAAGATGCTGAGGATGATAAAGATGCTGAGGATGTTATGTGGAAAAGGTACCCTAAAGATAAAAGCTCCTCGGGTATAATCGTCATAGATAAAGACGAAATTAAATGGACAACATGTTCGTTTGACAAGAAGCATGAATATGCAACCAACTACCTTTTCGACGGATGTCATCTGCTCAAGAGGTACGAAGAGGACATTATTGTTGGACTGCTGTATAAGATACCTGCAAACGGTGACAGTAACTATAGTCGAGACAAATTTACCAACAACAAACAAAAGCAGAAGTTAATTGCCATGGGGTTCACGATCGAGGAATTGCCTAAATTGTACTCTCCAGATGTAAAGTTTTGGTAGTTGTTGAGACAGATGAAGAGTAGATATTTTAAAAACTATCCAGTTGTCAACAGTTGGCATTTGTGGTTGTATATATAGCATGAACTTTTTAAAAATGTAACATGTCTTCGACACTTCCACCTAGGAGGCCTTTCAAGTCCAAATTATCATATGGTGTTTGTTCCATCTCTGCAGATCTTAACGATATCCACCGCGTCCATTAGAGGAGAATGTATATATGATACCAAGCATATAAGACAACCATTGTAACATTTTTTGTTTAACTATCCTACTAAACACCAACCTATTCTCCAAACAACAAAGTCTTCTTATTTTTCGCACACCAAACTCTTGAATATGTCCATCTACTATTAACCTGTAACCCTCACTGCAAGATTCGACAGAGTAGTTCTTGTATGTGATCATTTAAAGCACTTGTATTCCCAACTGTATCTTTGTCGTGAAATACAGGGGAGAGATTACATTTTAAAAATTCTTGTGCTGTCTATTGCTATTTTATTCTGTGTTCTGTTGCCCACTATGAAGAGATATGCCAGTTATGGAAGTCAACACTCCGTTCCTTGGACTTTGGATATTTTTTATATGCCTTTTTATATCCTCTGCACATGAAGGGGCCGCTTAGGAGATGCATCCCTTGAAGGAAACATTCCTTTTTGCGAGCCAGCAACTAGTGTAATGGCAGTACATCCAGGCTCGCGCTTAAATGTCCTTATTTCGCCCAAAATAACTTTCTCTTTCCCATTTACCTCTTCTACATGTCCTTCCACAAAGTATATAGGTCTATTGTTAAAGGAATAGTTAGCCAGCAAAAGTGTAATAAGCTCGGGGTTCTTAAAGTTTTGCCACATATATCCATACTTCTTAGAGGTTACCGAATTCCACCAGTGACAATAAGCAAACAGTTTCTCATGTGGAAAATGTACAGCCACCATCGAGGTAATGCATTTTGCACGTTCCTCCCACTGCATCTCAAAGGAACATTTAAATGTTTTACATTTCTTCAAGAGATTCTTTGTCTTGTCCATTTCGTCTTGATATGACTGAAGAGATCTCAAAGATGAACCTTCAAACGTCAGCTCGATACGACTATAACCATGCTTTTTATATTTTTTAACTCGTCGTCCAAATGCTGTTTCTTTCTCCACCAAATCCTCCAAACGTGAACCAAGGCTCTTTCGCACCTCGGCACTTTCCAAAATCTGAACAAATTTGTTATACACCTTATATCGGATATTCTTTCTATCATCTTCTAAACTTCTCCATGAAATGCAATGATGTCCAACTCTTCCTAAATCATCTACAATTTCCGTATTATTACCTTCTTTTAGTAATTTCTCTACATAAAACCGTGTGGTAATACGCGTACAATCATAGGCGAAGTCTATGTCATGTAAAGCAATGCCACTCTCGTTCAAGATAGGCAACATGCCGTCCAAAATTGGCACAACAATCTTAGCTCGTGAAAAATCTAGAGAAACCTTAATGGTAATAAAGCCATGCTGGTATTCCTTTCCAACAAACAGCCTTCTATGGCGTTTGACCATGCGTGCAGAAAAATAGTTGTCATCCATTTTAACAGCCCTAGCATCCAAAAACTTTACGGATTCCACATCTAAATTCATGTGGTTGAATGCATCGCGCAGTTCCGCAATGTACTTTCCAATTGCCGTACCTTTAGTGGAATTGTCAGCAAAATTATATATACCCCAAAAGATGATGGAATCGCAGAAGAGCTTCGAAAACTTAGTAAACCCTTTTCTCTCTATACTTCCAGGTGGAGCAGACTTTAGGCTACCCACATTTGACAGCAAGTGGGAAACTTCGTTGAAAGCTGTATTTACAATAGATTCTTTTGTTAGCGACATAATAAAAGGTATACTTAAGGTTTTAAAAAGTGTAAGATTTAGGTTGTCAGTTTCTTCTAAGCATGTATTCACCAGCATCCTTATTTGTAAGCAATCCCGCATTACGTATTTTCTCACGGATGAGTTGATAGGATGCCTCCAATAGTTTCTTTATGCCGTTTGTCCCAAATGTAGTGGCGTCTTGTGGAAAGAGATTACGATGATAGTCCAGAAATTCATCCAAATAGATAAACATACACAACTCCAGATTCTTTGCATAGATAAAATCGGCAACAACTTCCCGCTGGCGCGATTTAGTTAAACGTGATGGCCTGGGCATAATAATTGCGGAGTTAAGACTTTAAGATCCGTGTTCCATAATGTACTGCTTTGTCAATTACTCCCTTGAATAGATACAACTTGACATCTATATTAGATATTGTTGTATATGGCCCTCAAACACAAACATTGAGAGAAATATTCCCGGGAAAAAACGTGGTATATCAAGTATCAAGAGATCACCATTCCGCCTAATATGCCAAAAAGGATTTGCAACAGATGTGACCAAAAGAAGCCTTCATATGATTTCTACGATGATTCCAGAAATACATGTAAGGAATGGGAAATGTCTTGGGTCGAAATAGTTAAATATGTTATGGAATACCAATGGAAGTTGCAAGAATTTGTACAGACGATTATGGAAGGAGTTTTTAAAAAGACAACAGATATATCTATAAAGAATACATATACAAAAGCAAAAGAATCCAAATGGACATAGTTATCTAGCAGTATTACAAGAGCAAAACGTAAGGAAAGAGTATCAACATAAACATATTTTACATATCGGTAATCGAGGAATAGAATTGGGGGAGTGCGCTTTTTTTTGGGCGAGGGAGTACACCATTTTTCTCGTCTTTTGTTAAGCTATGCCCACCATTTTAAAACACCTACGTTCATATAACATATATAGCATTTATACGTGTGTCCACGGTGAATCTCATGCATATACAGCATGATGATAATGGTACCAGCTTGGTTGACAGTACATGAATTCCCTGGGAATAATTCCCATAATACTACTTATGGAAGGTATATATATTGCACATTTTAAAAGTTTATTCCGATAGCTCAACAACATTGGCTGTATCTAATTCTTCCTCTTGATTTACCATGAGACCACTGGCAAATCCTTTGATCAAGGCATTTATTATATAAATCTCCCTCCTCTGCTGGGAAATAATTTGGTTCATCTTATCCATTCCTTTCTCCAATTTTCTGACACGTTTCTTTAACTTCTTACTCTCATACTGTAAATCATCATCGGATTGTTGTACATCCTCATCTTTCTTACATCTCCCAGATTTCACATGCTTTTGCAACTTTAGGAGGAGTGGAAGTAAGAGATGTGGATGTATTATGGTAGTGTGTGTCTATTTATCTAAAGCTACTCTGATCGGAGGTTCAACTGTTGCACCTTCCCCTTTTAAAAAACGATCCCCTGGTCCTTTTTGAACGCGTCAACTAGGTCGCGGCAGTTCTCCAGGTTGGCGACGGGCTCCCACGTTTGGTCCTCCCGTCCGTACCCTTTCCATGACACAAGGAACTGGTGTTGCCGTCGGTATTTCCTGTAACGCAAAATGGACTCGACCTCGTATTCTTCATTGCCCTCGATGACAACTGGTGGTGGTGGTGCTAATGTTCGGCGGCCAAATGCAAGTGGTGACTCGATGTGATGGCGGAAGAGGTCGACGTGGAAGACATTGTGGATGTTGTAGGAGGGCGGTAGGTCGACTAGAAAAGTGACTGGTGATCGCTGCTCCAGCAATGTAAAGGGTCCGATGAAGCGAGGTTTGAGTTTATCCGAGCTGAGTCCACTGTCGGCTGGCATGGTGATGTTCTCTGCACTAAGGAGGATCTTGTCGCCGACCTTGTAGTCGTGGTCGCGTCTTCTCTTGTCGGCCTGTTCCTTCTGATGATCCTGGGCTCGTTGTAGTGCGTCTTGTGCGAAAAGTAGTGCTGTCGACTGTTGATCAAGATAGTTGTGAACGCTGGGTACGTTGCTGTCGGTGTGGGAGAGGAGACTGGCGGGGATGCGGGGATGTTGGCCGGTGTTGAGGAAAAAAGGTGAATAGCCGGTCGAGTGGTTGACGGAGTTATTATATGCAAATTCCGCGGCTGGAAGGAGGGTATCCCAGTTGGTCTGTTTTTCGTCGATGAAAGCGCGTAGCATAACTCCTAGTGTCTTGTTCATGACCTCCGTCTGTCCGTCCGTTTGTGGGTGATAGGCTGTTGACATTGCAAGCTTGACATCCATGAGTCGATGAAGTTCCTGCCAAAAGTGACTGGTGAATTTGCTGTCGCGATCCGAGACGATTGTCGTTGGCATTCCATGATGGCGGAAGACATTGTCGAAAAACTGGCGAGCAACGTCGGTGGCGGTAGCGGTGGTGGTGCTGGGAACGAAGTGGACATGCTTCGATAATTTATCGACAAAGACGGTAATGGCATCATGGTTGCGGGGTGTCTTGGGTAGGTGGGTCATAAAGTCCATGGTCACAACCTCCCAGCGACTGGCGGGGATGGGGAGAGGTTGGAGGAGTCCTGCAGGTCGCTCCTGACTTGGCTTATTGCGTTGACACTTCTCGCATGAGTCGACGTAGAGTTGAGTCTCCTTGGCCATGTTGGGCCAGTATGCCATCCGTCGCAGTTTGTCGTATGTCTTCCTGAACCCGAAGTGACCAGCTATGGGGGTATCGTGGCAGTCATGTAAAAGAGAGCGGCAAATGTCAGCTTTCTGTGGTATGGCAAGGACGGTGGTACCACGGCGATCATAGTAGAGAAGACCATTATGAAAAGAGTAACCAGAGGGGGCACTTCCCTCGAGGCAGCTTTTGTAGACGAGACTGAGCCTGGGGCTGCTCTGGTAGTCTTCTATCAGGCGCTGCCTCACACCTGGTTCAAGTTGGATATCGATTGAATGGATCTCGACTGTGTCTGTTGTTGGGCTGACAGGATCTTCTGCACGATGGTCGGGTCGGCGAGATAGGGCGTCGGGTACTGTGTTGTCGGCTCCGCGCTTGTACTTGAAGTCGAAGTCATATTCCTGCAGTAGCTCCATCCATCGGGCCTGGCGGCGGGTGAGTTTTGGTTGTGTCG